GCTTTCCAAAAGACATTCGCATCCCGTCTAACGTAAACAGGAATTTAGAAATCGCCTCAACTGGCCTCATCAGCAACGCCAGCGGGACTCGAACCATGACATGGCAGTGTGTAATCGAGTCACGATAACCGCTACGGATAAAATGGTCTTTTGGGAAGATGGGCCAAGTGTGAATTTCAGTATGAACTTGAAGCTTAGTCATATGAATGTATGAAGAATTAGGGACCAAACGAAATAGGGTGAATGCATTTCAATCAGCCTCAGATGGTCAAAGAGATGTGATAATTGATAATTAGGTTTTTCTATTAGCAATCGCCATCGACACACAAAATGCTGTCTCACATAAACTGAACTTTTATGAACGGCTGTATTATCCTCGTCTCGGCGGGATTCGAGCTCAAGTCGTGAGTATCTTCAAAAATACAATATCACTCCTTAAGTCATCCTAAGCGACCCAGGCGGACTAGGGTCTCATTCGAGGATTAGTGAAATTGCAGGAAACTACTTATATTTAAAACAGTAGTAGATAATGCGCAATCCGGTCCAGAATGATGTTTGGGCTGATTTTGCAGGAAGATTGGATAGTCTCAAAATGTGTTCATGTTGGAAGAAATTTTTGGAATGGTCTCACCGGAAATTGAAGACGTTGAGGCAAGACTGTCGGATTTTACAATCAAAGGTTCGACTCATCGTTACGCGACTTTGATGAATCTGTGCCAAAACTTCGTCTGTCCTGCCGGGCCAGAAAGCGTACCTCACGAAACAATGCCAAGAGAATGGGCATCATCGTGAGCAATAGCATGCCTGCACTGTCCTGACGACACGACTGCACGGTTTTGTGCCAACGAGGGGATGTGCATGTGGACGAGACCTGCTGCCTCGAGACGGCGGGACACAGGATTGATACAGAACAGAAGATGCAACCCTCCGGAACACCACGTCTTGCAGGCTACGGCCATTCCACATCAGAACGTCAGATTGGCGAGTGCACACAAACGTGGATAGAAAAAGTACGTGCGTTTCGAAGCGGTTCTTGAAGTTACACTTTCGGCGAGACTTTCATTTCGTGTGAAAATGCATAAAGAACACCTTCAGAGGTTGATCTCGCCAGAAGACGACTGGGGATTCGCAATTTGATCTTGAAACGAGCTTCAGGTTGAAGCAGCAGGTTTCGGACGAGGACCTGCTGCAATTTCGTACATTGTATCATGCACATCTTCAGAGCTGGAACTCGCTCTTGCAAACTTGTCAACCTACCATCGGGTCGACAAGACAATCCGGCTCTATCTTACCTCTTCTATGTGCCCATAACTAAAAAATAAATAAATAAATAAATATAAGCATAGAGAAATATAGAATAGTTTGGCAATTTAACTTTCATGTTTTTCGTTCTGCTTTAACTCAAGTTGGCATGGCAACGTCTCGGTCCTTTTGTGGCCAATCTAATTTAGGATTGAGATTGCATCATGACGTTAACAAACACACACACACACACACACATGCATGTTTGTGCATTTTCGTCAGTTGATTATGAGTACAACGGAGAGTGTTCTTAAACTATTTTTGATGTGACACTTTTGCAAGAATGAATTTCAGCTTTGACGACGGCGTACGAAAGAGAGGCCCGTTTTCACTTGACTCGAGGAAGAATGCTTCGTCGACTGCGCTACGCTGAACGTCGTTTTACGGCCAAACGAGCGCAGTTCAACGTAAATCACACCTCGTCTTCTGGTGATATCGACGCGCATACTTTTATGCAAAATGGTGTATCACCAACAATCTACAGAAGCAAACAAAACGTCCAACATTCAGAATGGAGGAATTTGTTGTAGCTGTGGAGAAATGAAGATCCACTGCACAAAAGGAGGAGGCTTGAAAGCTGCAAGTCTGATTAGAACTCGCACACTTTGCATGAATTCGGCCTGCACACATACACTAGACAATGGGACCTACGTGACAAAGTACTAAATCATACGCTTGATTGTTGTATGAAAGAGAACAATTGCCATCATCTCTGCTTCCTTCTCCGGCGACAACTTGCCTCTTCTACAAAACTGAAATGCCTCAGTCCGATTGCAAAGTTGTTTAAACGTAGTGAGTGTGATTGCTCGGAGCATCCCTTTTTTTGGCCTATTTTGTTTGGTGTGTTTTTGCATAAACTATGATTTCTCGTCTGTCGCGACAACAAATGACACGCCCAGCAAGAGGATGAGTCGAGGATTTGGTGGCACAATTTGACAATCTCCACTCGATGCCGGTCAATCTTGCTTCGATTCGCGGCCAGGCATTCTCACCAATTCACACAAACCAACTTTTCATCAGAAACGGTAGATGAGGTGACAACGAATTTTGTGAATACTTTTTCAATGTCGCGTTTTATGGACAAATTGTGGCGGCCACTTGAGCTCGACTCGGTCGAGAATCGCGACCACATGCAACAGACTCGGCCAATCTCAGCAGTCGAGGCTTACCGTTCCGCCGGGACTCGGCTGGATTCAGCAAAAAGATACCTCCTCCCCACGACAGGCTCGGTGTCGACGCGTCGTCACGCCTCGTCCGCTGCGGCTGCTCGTCGAGGCTGATCGGATCAGCAGCGATCTGTCCGGTCGTCAGGCGGGCGCTGGCTCGTGATCGTCTCTTATCTCCTCTTTCGCCCCGATCGGTTCATCCGCTCCGGCCGGCTGTACCAACGCAAATGGCTGCACTCGCGACTCGCTTCATCTCGCACCGTCAAGTTGTTTTTCCACACCCGTTGCGACGCAACCGACTCTGGCGACAGCCAAACACCGACCAACAGCGGCCAAGAGACGAAAAACGGTACCGGCGGAGGTGGGCATGCCTGCGTATGTGTGTGTATGTGTATATATATATATGTGTGTGTGTGTGTATGTGTACATGTGTGTGAGTGTGATTTGGTCGAATTGAACTCAGCGGAGCTTGGAGTCAAAGTGGGACGGTGCAATTTGTGTGTGTGTGTGTGTGTGTGAATTGATGTGATTTGGAAGAATTGTCCCCAGCGGAGTGTAGAGTCAGA